TATATATATATATATATATATTAAGTTTTATTTTAAATAAGCCAATCAAAATCCACCCACATAAAACTTACAGACAACATAAAGTTAAAAACCCAGTGTGGGGGAAAATTGAATTAAACTGAACATGTTGAGAGGCAACATGACTGCATTACACTGACTTCAGTTTCAGATCAAATGGATAACAGAGTTGGCAGTACAGCACACTGCTGGTCCTATGTTGACAGAGAGGGGCATCCCCTTGGGCTTAGATAATAGTAGTAAGTCAGTGTGGAACAAACTCCTCTTCTGTGACAAGTAGACAAGTAGCAGTAGTAGTAGCAGGTGTTGTAACTGGCCTTCAAGATCTGGCAGCTCAGCACTGGGTAGGGAGTTGATGACCAGGTTATTCTCATACATGCTCAATTAAGGAAGGTACACAGGTCCTGGCTCAGGAGAACTTCACCATGACACAGGCATAGATACACATGCTGTGTGTGGATGTGCATTCTCTTGCTGAAAGACTACTGAGCTGTCTCATGACATGTAGGGCATGCAGTCACAGAATGTGACAGACATTGTTCTGTGGTTATAGTGTTCCCTTATAAGTATGTCTGAAGTCCGAACTGATATTCCCCCACTCATTGATTTCAGAAATAACATTGGTGTGTTTGTCCACAACATTGTCAGGATTAATGTCCCCCTCTTTAGTGTACATGTTGATACAGTAGACATCTGTGGATATATAGAACCAACAATCATCACTGGACATGAGGTGACATCATTAGTCATCAGTCCKTGTTTTCCAGTTATGGCATCACTCACAATTTTCTGTCATCTGCAATTTTCACAAAACTCCACATTATGTGGGAACCCCATCAGACCCATTTTTTCCAACACTGAAGCAACTGCATAATGTAATGCCCGGCCTCATGTAAATACAATGTGACCCCCATCAAACGTTAATGCTGTCTACAAGGCATCCTCTATGCTTGGAGGGATCTCCACTCAGTGTTTTGACTCAATAACTTGTGATGCCACAAGAGGCATTTTTGCATTGTAAGGCCCAGGTCAGCCTGGCCTGGCTCCAGTCAGCCTATCCTTATTCTACCCTGACCCTGGCTTTGTTTGGTTGAGCAGAAAGTAACATTGACATGGGTAGGGATCAAAATATTACATACATGCAAATATATTTTGGTTTTATTTGCAACACAACAATAATGGACTGCACCAAGCTCAAAGGAAAAGTACTGAAGACTGTACTGGACCATCCATGAAGAGACGAGGTAAGATGACTGAATACGGTGAGCTAATGCTAGCTTGATGTTACTTGGTAGCTTGCTACAGTTATTTAGTTGAACTTGTGGAAAATAAAAAAAAATGTTAGTTGTTGCAAACAATTCGTTGCATTTCACCAATTCATTACTCTCGTGTGTGATGTAATCTGTCAGTGAACCAATCAATGAGCAACAGTAGCTGATGTCAAACTGGGCTGGGAAGGATGGCACAAATAAGCTCTCGAGGTCAGGACAGCCTGGACCAGTTCTTTAAGTGCAACAAGGAAATTGTTATACCCTGTGGTGCCCATTCTACACAGACCAGCTCCTTACAAATCTTATCACCCATCACCAGTCTGTATGT